GTGTTATTCAAAATAAGCAAGGTTCGAAACATTATGCAGTATAACGGGCTTATTAAACGAAATATTTGCGAACTTTGCGACTCATATATATATATATATATATATATATATATATATATATATATATATATATATATATATATATATATATATATATATATATATATATATATATATATATATATATATATATATATATATATATATATATATATATATATATATATATATATATATATATATATATATATATATATATATATATATATATATATATATATATATATATATATATATATATATATATATATATATATATATATATGTATATATTCTCACGTATTGATTCACGGATGGAAAAATGTGATGACACTGTATTCCGGGATATCATCCGTTCGCTCGTTGTTCGAAGTGTTTTCGGAGCGCGAGCATTGAAGATGCCAAGTGAGATTTTGGCGAAACGTCTGCAGGATTCCAGTTGGATGCAGGATTCCAGTCGGAGTTCAACGAGCGAACGGATGATATCCCGGAATATAGTGTCATCATATATATATATATATATATATATATATATATATATATATATATATATATATATATATGAAAACTTTCTATAGAGTTTTTTAATTCATCAGAAAATACTCTCGACTTCGTACAGTGGACGGCTTTTTCTGGACACGACGTCCTTAATGGAAATAAAACGGAGGTGGGAAATTGAAGCCGGCACGCAGATACTTTCCAATAAAAGGCAGAAAAAATAAAATGTTAAAACGCAAATCAGTCGGTGAAAACGCGGCGGCCTTTTTTTTCCTTTCGTCTGCAAAAAGAAATCACCTCTAAGGAGACATTCAACGAAACCAACCAAGAATAAACGTTCTGCGAAAGGAAGAAAATTATTACGCCAAATCGGGCAAAACTTCTAAAAGGCCCCGCACACGAGATAACCTTTCCATGTTATTAACAACGTTTTTCGATATAAGTTTTTTTTTCGCCCTACATTTTTTCATTAATAATGAGACCGATCGGTTTAACGTTGCCGAGACGTTTCGAAAACTTTGTAATTCGATTCGGGAACAACTTGCCTAAAAATAAAAGTTGCTTTGTCAATTTGGAAGCAGCGTCGAGAGCAAAAATCACAAAAAAAATACATGAAAACTATCGAAAAGTTGGGAAAAGGCTGCAAGAGAAACACGTTGCAAACAATTTGCGATGAATAAAGACAACTTTCTTTTTTAAATTACCGGCTTAGGTTTTTCTAACATTGCTTTTCTCATTCTGAAATATATGTCACTATTTTTTAATTCAATAAAAAATGACAATGAAAATACACCCTATTCCATTTTTCCATATCGTGATTCCTCCAAGTACCGTAATGCGATGTTGCCAACGTATTGGGTAAAAATGGAAATACTTCATTCAACACGATTTCATATGATCTTCTATATTGTTCCATTTCTGACCTTTTAAAAGCAACACCCCGTATCTATCTACTTAGAGTGCTCAGTTACCTCTCTATTACTTCGGTTGAAGTGTAAATTTTTATTTTCTCCCAATCAGTTTTCAACATCGCGTTGACATTCAAAACAAGGTGTCATAAAATCACTTATTTTTAAAATATTTTTTATGCAACACGTATTAAACCAATTTTCCCCAATAGTGATATAATACTTTGCGTTTCGCTGTACATGTCTTGCCCAGTAACACCACTTTTATAAAAAATAGCAACAGCTACCCTATATTTTGTTTCAATTTCTGCTCTGCTGTTACAAAATTAATACGTTTATTGTACGTGGCGGAAGACAGCAAAATTTTAAAAATGCTGTATTAACCTTATTTATGAAGCAAAATTAACGAAATGTCTCTCAAGGAATTCTTCTTCATCCATGTCCCTAACAGATTTATTCCCTATCTCTACCTAAATAAAAAAACCTTTGAACGATTTCAGTGATATTCAATGCGTTCAGTTTTAATGACATTAATATCCATTCGGAACACTTAAATGTCGTAATTCACAATTTTATGCAGGCCATGGTTTGTGGGGCATCAATTAAAAGCGAATTTTCCTCTTCTTAATGCACCGTCGAAGGTACCGAAAAAACCGGTTTTATGAAAAAATTATTTGTTTCACCCTGTAGAGGATTTTGTGCATCGTCAAAAATATGTGCAATCACATTATAAAACACAATAACTTAAGAATTTTCTTTGTAATTCAAATTAATGAGTTTTCTTGCTTTTTTCAACTATCCAAAGCTAGCTTTTCTAGTTTTTTTTTATTTAAGGGCTGTATTAAAAGGAACTGTAACTAAAACTTGCTTTCTTACTTTTTTCAACTAACGCAAAAAATAACTAAAAGTTTATTTTAATTTAATTTAAAAAATATTCTTCTAGTTGAAACAAAATTAACAACAAATTAATTAGTTTTATACAAATTATTTTACCTTTTTTAGTATTTTTTTTTTAGTATAGAAGAAAAACTTGTAACTTAAACTTATTTTTAAATTTCAAATGAAAAAGGTTTCTTACTATTTTCAAGTACCGTAAATTTAACTGACGCGTCTTCTTTGATATTGAAAATTAAAAAGTGTTCTTCAAATATTTTTTTACTCAATTGTATAGAAAAGAAATTGCAACAGTTTTTAAATTTCAAATCTAAAAGTTTTCTTACTATTTTCAACTAACGCAAAATTAACTAAAACGTTTTCTTTGATATTTAAAAGTAAAAAGCATTCTTCAAATTAAAACGTGTTCCTCAGATTAATATGTTTTTACCTAAATGAATAAATATTCTTCAAATGAAAAATTTTGTTTTTATTACAAATATAAATATATATATATATATATATATATATATATATATATATATATATATATATATATATATATATATATATATATATATATATATATATATATATATATATATATATATATATATATATATATATATATATATTCTCACGTATTGATTCACGGATGGAAAAATGTGATGACACTATATTCCGGGATATCATCCGTTCGCTCGTTGAACTCCGACTGGAATCCTGCAAATCCTGCATCCGACTGGAATCCTGCAGACGTTTCGCCAAAATCTCACTTGGCATCTTCAATGCTCGCGCTCCGAAAACACTTCGAACACGTTTCACGCAAGATTTGCAGGATTCCAGTCGGAGTTCAACGAGCGAACGGATGATATCCCGGAATATAGTGTCATCATATATATATATATATATATATATATATATATATATATATATATATATATATATATATATATATATATATATATATATATATATATATATATATATATATAAATCTTCTTTTTTATTAAATATGGAAAAGCACTTGCAATCAATTACACTGTGGTCTAATCATTACTCGGTAAATGCCTCGGGAGGTGCAATATCATGATTATATTTGAATCTTAAGGTTAAGTAAGATTTTCCGCTAGTATTTCAGTTTGAATATTATACGAATAGAAAATTAATTATGTAATGAATTTGAAGGAAAGAATTGTTATTAATTTTTTCATTTGGATTCTCTTGTGTTTGAATGATTTTTTCCAAAGTTTTTAATTGGAAGTAATTCGTGTTTATTTTCGTTTTAGTTTTCATTTCCCTTTTTCGCCATTAAAAACCTCATTTTTTACAATTTTGAACCAGCATTCAACAACAGAATTGAACAATTTGGTGGTATTTACTTCAATGAGTTCATTCCATAAACCAATCCATAAAGAAAATGCCATGCAGTATTTCAGCAAATATTTGAAAAAATATTCTAATTCATTAATTCATTCAGTTCATTTTTATTTAAAGGCATTTTGATTTAATATTATTTTCTGTATCTGTTGTAACAAGTAACAAACACACCGATTAAACCCATACATTATGGGTAATAGAATATAAGTTTTGACAATACAACATTTACATTTAAATTTGCCCTACCTATTAAAGTGAAAGAAATTAACATTCATCCACTTCTTTTAAAGAACAAAATTAACTTCAAATTGCACATATTTTTGACGAGGCACAAAATCATTTACAGAGTGAAAATGTGAATTTTTTACACATTCGGCGGTGCAAAAATTACCAGATATCTATTAAACATGACACAAAATCGTCTACAGAGTGAAACACAAAATTTGATAAAAGTGCCTTTTTTCATACCTTCGACGGTGCAGAAACTGGAAACTACCTAGTCCTATTGAAGATAGCAAAATTCGTTTACAGGGTGAATCGTACAATTATTTGCAAATCCAACATGCTGGCCACACTAATTAAATTCAATAAAGGCAGCTTTATTAATTCTTTTAGGCAGTGCAAGCAAAATTTGGGAATATTTCATTACTGTTAAATTGATTTTTTAAAGATTTTTACAATCTGCACCTTCTAACATATACCCCACAAGCAATAATTTGTAAAATTATGAAAACATATCTGTAAATATACATCAGTCGGAGAATTCCTTGAGAAACATGCGTGCCAAAATACGTTATTTGTGCTCCAAAAATAAGGTTAATACAGTATTTTCAATGTATTTGTTTCGTCCGCTCTAATTTGACGCAGATTTCAAGCCCAACCCCAAGCAAACTTCAGCCATTTGATTTATTGTTACCAACCATCAAAATTACGTACATTTAAATAGGAAAATATAAATAGAATAATACAAACAACAACAAGCCTTGGAAGCGTCAAACACGCACTTTTTATTTATTTGCTAATAATTATAATTAAATATACTGTAAGAAATTAATTCTATTGAGATGCCAAGAGGTCCTAGCGGGTTTCGAGATAATATCGAAATTCTTTATTTTATGGGTGAGAAAATTGAAATCGTTTTTCGATATTTGGAAAATTTAAATTTCAGTTATTGTTAGTATCCGATGTCAGTATCCTGTAGAACCTTCCGTCATCGACATGAAAATGGCAGAAATGCATGTATTCAAATGGCATTTTAGGCATTTTAAAAACAACCTTCCAAAGTAACGACATAATTTTCAGGGGTGTTCCTGATCTGCTGGGTGCCGTTCTTCACCTGTAACATTTTAGACGCGATGTGCAGCAAACTGAACCTCGAGTGTCAACCGGGCGTTTCGGCGTTCCTGCTCACCACGTGGCTGGGTTACATGAACAGCTTCGTCAATCCCATCATCTACACGATATTCAATCCTGAATTCAGGAAAGCGTTCAAGAAAATTATGTTCTTGGGCCCGTAATGGATCAGGTTTTCCGTAAAGATCGAAATCATTTTCACTGAAAATTACCTTTAAGTACTTCTGATTTCAACAATGTTTAATATGAGAGAATCTCTTATCTTTCAATTTTGTTAAATGAATCGAAATGTTTCCCAGTAGTTTTATTTTGACCGCAAAACTTTCTTTTTTCCGTTGTCGTGGAAGACTCTGGAAAACCCTACATATATTTGCGTGTTTCGATTCTATCAAGAAAGGTTTATATGTCAACGCATCGCAAAAAGAATGACACTTTTTTTCTTTTGATCTCCTATATATTTAAATCTGCTATCTTTCTAATATCCAAAAAGCACCTTAATACAGTCAAAAAACATATAACAGGAGCACCCTGTATCTGACTACTTTATCATGTTCAACTATTGCACTTCTACTACTTTGCATAAGTTTTTCTGTACCTAACAATTTAAATTTGGTTAATTTTGGTGAATATTTGCTTTTATTAATCATTTTGAACAGATTGTTATCCATTTTTTTGAAAGGCAGCAAATAGAAAGATATAGGTGATCGTATATGTTGTGCTTCTATTTATTTGTTTCGTTTTTTTTTTGTTTAACGTTTTTAATAGTCTATAAATTAATAATTACTTTTTCTATTATTTTTAATTAATTGAGTTGACAGTGTGAAAAAAAGAAACTACTTTCTACTTTATCTCTTTCCCTGCCATCCTTTTATTACTGGAGCACCACGTATCTTTCTATTTTTCCCTGATTCGTCGATTTTCCCATTTTTCGGGAGTCATTGCAATTCTGCCAATAAGTATCAGGGAAAAGACTCTTGTATTAAGCCTTACTTTACTAACCGGGTAAACATCTAAGGAAGCAACAAAAAGTTGCACGAATTAGGTGAACGAGAACGATCCGGGCAAAAAAGTTATAAACGAACACATTTATGCAAATATTTAGTTGCATAACCCTATTAATTTTGCATTCAAATTGTAAAATAATCTTTGCGCCATGTAAACATTTCTTGTAGGAGTCGTAACATGCTAAAATATATAAGCTGCATGTTAAATTGAAAGTTTTGTATTACTTTTTTCAAAATAGTGAGTGGAGCACACTACATTTTGTATATAGTGGAGAAAAATACATGCATGCAAAACCGGTTACGGAGCATGGATGCTACTTTTCAATTTCTTTTTTAATATCTTAAAACCCAAAAAAATGAAACGCACGCCACTGGCGTCAAATTACGAACAAAATCCGGTATAATTTAGCCATTTTTCTATTCAATATCATTTCCGAGAACCCAATGGACGCAGCTCCGTTCTCCGAAGAGCGTAATTTAGTCTCTCGATACTTAAAGTTTGGAGCGACTTTGAAAGGTGGCCTACGAAAGGACTTTATTAAGTACGTCGAAAATTGTACGCGAAATTAAGTCACTTTCAAATTTATTAAGCTGAAACCGTAAATCAAAACTTAAGGCTGAAAAGTTAGCCGATAGTTTTGACTGTCCAGAGAAGTCTGCAAGAGAGTTCAAACTCGAGAAGCCTCAGACCGCCAAGGCAACTACTGCGGCTGCGGCTTTCAGTTTGTCTGTCCGATTGGGCGTTTTACTTATAATTCATTCATTTTCTATTTCCGACGTGCTGGAATAATAAAACCACATGGGTAATTAACAAACTGCCGCGAACAACCCGCAAATCGGGTATTACCGCGTAATCTGTTTAATTGAAAACCTCGTATTATCCGTACTCTTTCGATGCCGAAGCCAAAAAGCCCTAAAATTTTCGTGTTTTTTTTTTGTTTTTGTAAATTGGGTTTTGCTGATTTTCCGGTTGCAAGCCTCCGCTTACACATCGCGTGAATAATTTTCGACCAGCGAATTAAAGTGTATGCCGAAAAATTATGGCCCTTGTTGATAAAAATTTTTGTACTATTTTTACAATTGCAACAATTGCAGTTGACTTTTTAACCAGCATAAGGTTTCCCGCCATTTTTAACTCTCCTTCAGAGGGACATTACGAATTTTAATAAAGTTCCATGAAAGAATTTGCAACTGTTCTCAAAAAACAGATTATTTTTATATTAAAAGTTTTAAGTTTTTTAAAGACACCTATTTGAGTCCTATGCGTAATTCACAAATAAATGATTTGCTCTGCTCACTTTATTTCGAAAAAAATAAAAAAAATTTTTTTCGTAAAATACTATCAATCAAATCTTATTCCCGAGGGTAATTTAAAAGGTTCTCTGCGTTTCGGAGTTTGAAAGAAACTCACTCGACTAGGTATAACAAAAAAAAAAATGGAGTCGAATTCTGTCAAAAAACTTTACTCTCTTCTCGTATACATAAGCTGTCCAGTACAATATCAAAGCTTAGCAGAACTAGGATGATTTTTATAATATACCGTTCGAAAACATACGAACATTGTAAATATGTTAATTATTTGTACATATCAGTAAATTGTAATGTATCGTACAGGGTAAACCAAAATTAACGTGTGTTATAAAAACTAATTCCGTGTTTCGCTGGCCTCAGAACTTAAGCCGTCTCTCCATTAAGCAGACCTCGTTTTTTATTCTTCCACTATAAATAGCGGTGTATAAAATGTTCGTTGTAAATAGCGTGTGCTGAAAATTGTATAAATAATAAGTATACCGGGTGAGGCATGAAAAATGGGCACATTATAACTGTTGAACGGTTATTGGGACATTTAATCCGAATTAATTACGCTTAAAAATAATTTGAAATAGAAAAAAAAAACAATGAAAAAAGTAGATAAAATGTAACGTTAATTCTTTTGATTTATCAAAAAACTTGTCAGGTCTGAACAGTAATTGCAACTTCGTCTCATAAAAAAGCTGAAATTAGGTTCAGTTAACTAATTTTCTGTAGTAGCATTGTTTAACCCCGTTTTTTCTTGTTGCAATATATTGAGGTAATAAAATTTTTATTATTATATTTTTGTGTATGCCAGTTGTAAGCACACATACATAAGTTGAATAAAGACTGTTATAATCATTATATATTGTGCAAATATTATGAGAACTTTGCCTGATTTTTTAAACGGCAAAGAACAAAATAAAACAAATTTTGCAACGGTTGTTCCAGATTTCAAATCGCCATTAAATGTTACACAATGTTCCCACATCCTTGTGTCACCCGGTATGAAACGCTCCGCCAAAGGTATCAACCCCGGCGAAAATCCAAAGGGTCCAAACGCGTTCTCGCGAAAACACGCCGCGTCCCCCCCTCCCAAGCGCGAGGGTGACGCGGGCATAGAGCCCCTTTTTTCGCGACAGCTCCGACTCTTCGTATGGTCGACACGGTCTCCCCCGTTCCACTTCCGGAATTTTAACCTCAAAAACATTTTTCATTCCGCTTCGTTTTCGCTCGCGTTTTCCTTTTCGATGTTTAGATTTTAGCCTTTCCAGAGAGCAATAAATTTATTATTAGTGAAAAATGCTTTTGGGTTACTCTATACCGAGTGTCCGGAAAGTGGGGGCACATATTTTAACGGGAGACGATTCTACCTGTGAAATGTGTAAAATGAATACCAATTTTCTAAACAAAAACGGTTCCTTACCGAGATACAGGGTGTTGCAGTTTTTTTGTACACCAAAAATAAAAATTACGCTTAATATCCTCATTCAATGTCGAGCAATCTCGTTCCCTTGACTTTTTTACTCACGACTTAACAATTTTTCTAAATTTTAATGCCCCGTTTGTATTTCGGTAAAGAAACTTATCCGGGCATGCGTTTATGTAGGAGCCATCCCTTTAACGTACGAGCTCCCAATTTCAGGACACCCTGTATTTATATTAAGGAATCTTACGCTTATTATGATTCTATATTGTAAGAAGACGTTTAGGAAGCGTTATTACATTTATGTTACAATAAAGCTATTTCTTAATAACTCGCGTTTTATTGTCCCTTCTCCCTTCCAGCCGTACTCGTAAAAACGAAAGGCTATAACGCTGCTAATTCGGTTAAGCGGCCATAAGGAGGCACAAATTTCTATCAAACATATTGGCGACCGTCGAAATGAGGAACATTAAAATGTATGTTTACGTCAAGTATCACCCCTAACACCGTATTGGTTATTTCACAATAAAAAACGAATCAAATCAAGCATACGCCATGTGCCAGAACCTCTAATAGACTTTTATAACTTTTCGGAAATCTATTACAATTTTTTAAAATCACCAATAAGATTTTTTTTATTTAGTCTTTAGTAGTCAACCTTTGACGCTTAACCTTGAAAATAAAATGTCAAATCCATCAGCGCAATAAATACTGTAATTATAGTTGGAGAGTACTAAGAAGCTATCGATATTTGGTAGCACCTACTCGAACCTACTTAAACCTATTTTACATTTAAAAGCATTGCTGGACGTTACAAAATTTTATTTTCCAATTGTCACAAAATCTTGAACTTTTATCATCAGTCGTGTAAGAATTACAAAAGCTTACGATCTATTGTTGATCTATTTACAAAACCTAAACTACGAACGCCCTAGCTACTGGTACTGGTTCTCCTTATACTTCGAAGAATTGACATGTTGGTAAAACTGTGGTGCTGCTGCAGACTCTTGCTCGTTCGGCTGTTGCTGATGCAAGTACTGCTGTTGGTCCGAAACAGCAGGCGTGTACTGCTGCGACGTTCCGAATTGTCCGAGATACTGGTGGGCTTCCGGACTAGAATACTGAGACGGAGCCGCGGGATACTGTTGAGCCGCCGCGACGTAAAATTGCTGCGGGGAGTGAGCTTCGTACTGCTGCGAAATCGAGTTCGTATTGTCTTCTTGAAGAGCTTTCTGCTCCTGCGGGTTGTACACTATCCTGGATACTGCCAGCGGCTTGCCGATAGGCTGGTACTGGAAATCGTTCTGCGATTGTTGGTACTGAAGCGATTCGGGTCGCTGGTAATGGAAATTGACGGGTTGCTGTTGATACGCCTGCCTTAACGCTTGTGGTTTGCCGCTAAATAAGGTCAAACCACCGGCGCTGTTGTAGGACGCCACTGGGCTGGAGTAGGTGAAGGACGACACGTCACCAGCTTGCGAGTATGGCGCCTTTACGTACGACGGGACCTGTAAATAGCGTCGCTCGTTCCGTAAGTAAGTATTTTAATGGTGACACTTAATGATGAGCGTGATACATTGGCTAAACCATATTGTAATTTGGCGTAAAGGACAAAAACGTATTTTTAAGAAAATCGATTTTAATAATTAAAAAAAAACTTTCTTCCAGCGCGTTCACGTAGCCCTGACATTAACATTGATCAGTTGTTTTTGTTTATCGAATGCGAAAGTGCTTTTACGTGTACTTTCGATTACGAGTCTAATTCAGAACGGATCTTTTGTGTTCTCTTTCTTCTTTGCCGGGAAAGTGCGCCACCGTTTTTTTTTTTAACAAAGTAATGAGATATCGACGTCGTTGTGCTACGCGATTATGTTGTTTACGAGTGCAATTCGTGGAAAAGAAAGCTGGACGGTTAAGATTTTGTTTGTGGATCGTTCGATGTTACTTTCGGTACTTCATTTTCTAAAACCTCACAGAAAACAAAGAGGGCTTCCTCCACAGTATTTAATAGTAATTGGGTTTTCAAAAACGGAAAACTCTTAAAACGACATGTTACAATAATATAAAATTATCATCATCAAGGTTCAACTAAGATTTTTTCTTATAATATAAGAACCAGAGTTGAGGGACTAGTCCGTCTCAACCTAATGGAAAAATGCCATTACTTATAGAGAAATAAAAAAGTTTAAATTTTTTTTTTTTTAAGTATACTTTTTTTAGTTACTTTGTTCAATTACTTAATTCGTTTCTTTTCGCTCTGCGTTCCATACGACGGACGTTCATTATAATAGTCGATGACATGGAGGTTTTCTTGACTTAAATTGAAGGAAAAACGGCATACAAATTATGAAGAAATTCCAACCAATAACAAAGGAATTCTGATGGAAGGATACTGATGATGAATATTTATCGAATCTTGTGAACATTGTTTTAAAATATTCTAAAAATTGCCAGGCGGATCAATAAAGCAAGACATCAGATCAAACATTCAAATTTGCGATAGGAAGTCAATTCATATTAGGAGTTGCCCCCCGAGAACCAAAATGTGTTTCCTTGAAGAACATTTCTATTAACATTTCATTAAAATGTATTTTTCTTGTGGTTTTACAACACAATCTTAAAATATAGCACTGTTCTTAACCATTTTTTTAAATCAAAAGTTTTTTTTTTCAGCAAAAATAACAGTTTTGGTCAGTTTGAGTTTTTTTTTTATTTGGAAATGAGTCATATAATTTTAATTTGTTTGCATTGCGATGAAAAAGGATGCAAATATCGTCAATTTTTTTAATGTAAACATCCAGAAAATTGAAAAAAGAAGTGGCAACGCCGACATTTCACAACCATTTTCGCTACGATTCATTTAAATACACCAATAAAAAAGCCTTAGCAATTCGCAGACCTGCGCACTAATCCCTTGTTCCAGTTGCATACAAAAGGTTTACTCAAAATGGTCATATCTGTTAAATATTTACAATAACTTTTTTTATTTGTCCATATTTCTTATTCGACGGCGACCGACATTTCGTTTTGGAAATGGTGTTTAGGGAGAGCGAAATAATTAGTGTCTTTATTCGTCTGCCCCGCCCAAATAATTCATCTTCTCCCGTGCCAACCTTTGCTATATACAATTGAGATCCCGGGGGACCACGATTTCTTTTTTTTTTTCGCGACGGCTCACGGACTTAAAAAATTCAAAGCCCCGTTCCATTAAAGCCACGAAAAGTTTAATATTTAACGGCGGCTCCACGGACCCTTCTTTAAAGCTTATTAAAGAAAAGGAAATAAATTCGTGCATATCGAATAAAGTTTTAACCGTTCCCCCAACTCGAGAACACGGTTATCATCCGATTGGAGATGAATTTAAAAAAAAAGTTCTGTAAGCTATGGGCGAAAATTTATTTCAATTAAAATCGCATAAAATCATTTTTCAATAACAAACCGTAGAATGGTGTTCCGCATCATTCTCATTTTCAACCTGAGGTGCACTTTTATTGGAAGTCGTAGAAAATCACTTTCACCTAATCTTATCGGTTATTTATTTACCTCAGAATTCGTGTTTACTATTAGCTCTATTGGCTTAAAGAAGAAACTGTGGAACAAGACTCACCTTTTGCGATATACCAGCTGCGGAAGGTGTGCCGATATTCTGAGGCAGTTGGTGAGCACCGTAACCAGTAGCTTGGATGTATTTCTGAGGAATCGAAGGTACCGACTGCTGCTGTTGAACCTGGTAGTATTTCGAAGAAGGTTCGAACGGCTTCTGAAAATACTGGTTTTGCGGATACGGTTGATGAGCTCCAGCTTCTTGGGGAGGCCCGTAAGGCCTCTGGGCCTGTTGGTGATAGGGAACCAAATTCGCCGAGCTGCTATAGTCTGCGATACCTCGCTTGCCCTTGTTGGTCATCCTGTGGCGTGGATGATCTGCGACCACCATTGCCAAAAGAATGATAAAGGTGGACACCTGTGAATATGTTTGAAAATACCTGCTATACAATTGTATAGTATTGTTATAAATATAATATATTATCGTAGACCTTTGTTATACTTTTCAGATACCACATGCGCCAAAGAGAAGATTCACTTACTTGAAAGTAATTCATGTTTCTGCTCCGGTTTAGGTCGGTGCACCGAGTTGAGTGAGAGTGTGGTACGACCAGTGCACGGAAGAGTGTTATATATCCGCGCTTCTCTCATCTCACCTTTCTCCGATAAGCACACCCATTCGATATTAATATGGCATCAGGTTTATCGATGACGAATATGTCGGAAAAGGAGCCGCTTCATATTTAATGTGACAAGTTTTTTGAGTAATTTAGAGGAAGTGAGTTCTTATTACATGACATACTAGAATAATGATAATAAATATTCATTTTCATATTTTATATCAATATATCAACCACTGTTATAGGATAGAAATTACAGGAATGAAGACACACTGAATGCTATCATCAACAAACATAGTCAGCATTGTTCGCTCATTAGACGATGATAAACGTAACATGTACTTTTCAGTCCCAATAATATTATATCTATCCATAAAATATTTATTCTGTTTCCCTATTTTTTTAAGCACTGCAGGAGATAATAATACTAATAATAGTTAAATGAAGATTTAATTCTTCGTAAATGTACTTTTATTTATCGAGAAACAGAGTCAATTATCATTTTCGGTAATGGGGTTGATTTAGAATCGTTACAAACATTATTTATTAGTACCTACCCAGAAAACTTATTATTTATTAGAGTATAAATAATATCTGAATAATTTTTGGGATAGTATTTTTTAAAATAATATTTGGTTTAGGCATCGTTTGTCACGGTTCTTGTGTCAGTGTGGAACTTTGCAGAAAAATATTGGTTCAAATAAAACCACCCAGTTTTGCAGGCTCTCTAAATCCACAAACGAAGAAAATGATGCTTATTCATTAACAAGAAGAACGAACAAAAAACGATAACATAATTAAATCAAAATCTCTCCAGAATAATAAATGAGTTCTAAATAATCGGCCGTGTTTTTTCATAAACATTCTCCTAGATCTTTCAAATTGTAGATATTGACGCAATTATCAAAATAACCTATGAATATAATAAATATGTATTTTTTAACAACAACAAAAAAGATTGCCACCTCATAATAGTCCCCATAGTTCGAAAATCAAAAGGAGAGAGCGCTCACCTTACACACGCATCGCATATCCCCAAAATGTATCCGAGTAAATCATTTCCTTTCGTGTACGCTAATTATATCGGAACCGCTTTATCACAAGTCCGATAAGCATTGCAAATAAATTTGCGTGATCGACAGAAAGCGACTTCGTCGCGGACGCTGGTTTTGCGGATCGGATTGTTTTTAACTGTGCGTCGGCTGTTGTTCCGATACTTTACGCTCGAACGCAAAACGGTGGATGGATAGTTGCCATTAATTTTCGTCGGGGCAGTTTCGCGAACTAGCGCGAAGCAAAAACGAAGCAAGTGAGAGATTTACGTGCTACATAATAACGTGGTCGAGCTTACCATCCCCCACGCTTCGAAGGCGAAATTCTAACTTATTTAAGAAAGGTATAGTAAGGGGATAACACATTTTAAATCCCAACAAAACATAATAACGACATGAATTATTATTGCTTTTTTCTACAAACGGTTGAAACATGCTGACAATCAATTAAAAGCATCATGGAACTGATAGGTAGTGTCGAATTCAAAGCTTCTGCAGCAGCGTGAAATAAGAATAAGATGTTCGTAGCACGTTAACAAAGACTGCCGTGGATATGGGAGTAAATCGCCCAGCCTTCAAAACGATGGGACACTTCAAGCTGATCATTAACATCAGCAGCACTTTTTGAAATTTGAAGTCGCATCTGTACCAGTTAGGAATCTGGTAAGCTTTCCTGAATATCTGCTCGCTCTGAAATCGTTATGCCTATATACACGTCGCAGAAGCAAATTATTTTTACCCCGTGTCTGATTTCGGTGCCGAACCAACAAAATAGGAATTGCTCTGTCAACATGCTCGTCAGGAAGAAGCAGAGCATGAAAAACTGCGCGCTGGATACCGAGACCTGTCAACGAACGCGCTACGAGAAGCTCTTGAGAATTCGTTGAACTTACTATCGTTGCTTGGTATAGGAGGGTACAGAGAATAATCGTGCCACCCAAGAATAACACCAAGAGGCTCCAAGAGTAAAAGCTTTCAATTACAGCAGCAAGCTTCTTAACTTCTTCATAGTGTTGAATACAAACTACCAAATTCGACCTCATTCGATTCAAAAACCACGGCGAGTCTGCACGAAGCTTTTTTCCACCTTCGTGCGACAACGCGCCATTTTCAAATCGGTACTCGTCCAAAGTTTCCAACGTGGAACCGAGAAATTCGCACTGTTTCCCGAGTTCCATCATCAGGTTGAAGGAAAAGTGGTCGGTATTCACCACCAAGTAAATGTTGTAAGCTATAGCCAGGTCTTGGTGGAGCATCGTTAGCTCGTAATTAGGCGAAAGCCTATGATCAAACGGGTACCAGGCGTTGGTAACTAAAGTCCTTCGGCTCTCCAGGAACGGACTTATGGACCAAAATAAAAAAGTCGACAAACCCAGTACCGAACCGAGGATTAGCAAGCGGTTGGATACCATACGTACCGCCGCTGTTACTGCGTGGTGTTTCGGATTCTTAGCCTAGAAAGAGTACTTCCACACGGTACCTTATGAATGTTAACGTAGAGTTTTACCTGAAGTAGCGGATTTCTGTTAATTGATTTCAAAACTGCTTCGATTTGGTGTGCACGAAAATACAGACCAGACATTTTGACCAAGTTTATCGAGAAGCAGAACAACACATAGGTGGAGGCGGTGAACTCCGATAGTTTGTTGATGTTGACAATCATGAACCCGATCAGGGGAAGCAAATAACTTACCAGGAAGGCGCAACACAGCAATGTATAAAATTTGTAAACGGATCGGTACTTTGAGCTTCCGTTCAATTTCCAAAATCCACCCCAAACAAACATGGTTCTGTTTAACTGTAAATAATCGCGTGGCATCGTCGCAAGGTTAACTAAAACCTTCGAGTGAGCGGATGCAGTAATTATTGCATTAAAAAGTTAAACCCCGCCTCGTTCTAAGTATCTGGAAAAATAACTCGATGCTTAGCGATAATCACACCCTGCCAGACGGTGCATTTTTAAGCACCTGGATATCATGTCGTTCAAACCAGCTGCTTAAAAGTCGATAAAATCAAGTTACCAAGTTTATCTCTATTACTGCGTCTTCCTCACACGCGAAAGACCTTAGGACCCTTTGGTCAAAATTTTTATTCAGTTTTAGAATACAAATTTCCAAATTGCTGATAGCTGAAGGTGAAGGGCCGGAAATTCTGGTTGATGAGGTGAGAGCCGTCGTCTCGAAAATGAAGCCACGAAGGACTGCTGGTTCGGACCAAATACAGACTGAATTCATAAAACTACTGAATGAGGATAAAACAAAATGGTTGACTAGAATATTTAACAACATCTATTCAACAGGGGAAATTCCAGAGAACTAGTTGAAGTCAGTATTTATCACACTCCCCAAAAAAGCAAGTGCGAAAATTTGTGGTGATTTTAGAACATTAAGTTTAATGAGTCATCTCTTAAATTTATTGCTTAAGATAATACACAAAAGAATATATATGTTGCAGTCAAAGTGTACATTTACTAGCCATTGCATACATTCACTTCCCATTTTACTGGAATGAACACTTTAACTAGTAACTGCATGCATTAACTAGGTAATGCATGCAGTTACTAACCAACTGCAGTCAAAGCGTTAATTGATTAATTTCAAAATAAAATTTAGTTTAGCGAATAATTAAATTAATTATTGACTCGATGATTATTGCACTAGAGCTAGTTATAACATAAAAATACAAAAGCACCTAACATAGAAAGAAAATAATTTGAAACACAAACACATTTACAAATAAGAAAAACACTTTATTTGTTTGAACAATTCAACTTCCGTGGCATTTGGAATTGCACAACTTTTTTGCTTTAAGGCATGCACATCTATTTGTTGTGCATTTTGTTCTACATTGGCAACCTTTCAAATTAGCGATGACGTGGTTAACAAATTCTCGGCCATTGTCCGATTGCAAAATAGATGGTGCCCCAAATAGTAAAAAAATTCGAAGGAGTTGATCAGCAACTTCATTAGCTGTCTTATTCTTAAGAGCTCTAAGAATGACAAACTTTGTTAAGTGGTCCTGGTATACCAATATAAATTTAAATTTATCATCTGGCTTTCACCAAGCCTTTCTTTTCATTCGCCCTTTTTTTAAGGCACACTTCACAATTATTTAAAAATGTTTGAATATCTTGTGCTGTTATATTTTTAAAGCGAAGGTTAAGTTCCTTTTTCATTCTGGCTCGTCCGCCATGTCCAATTGATAAATGAGTTTCATATAAAACTTCAAACAATTCTTCAACAGTAACATAATACAGCACTTTGTCATTTGCTATTGGTGCAATTAGCTTATCCACATTACATACATACACTATATCATAAGGTTTTAGTAACCAGAAGTGACGATTTTCTTTTTTCTGAGCAGATTTAGAGGATTTAACATCATTTATTAGTTTTGCATACCTTTCCGCAGTCATACGAAGCCGTTAGCTTTTTGTTGAGTATTGTTAATATATTCGTAGAATTTAACTTTCATCGCTTCTTTATCCGTTTTATATTTATGACTAAAAAAAAAAAATTAATAATTATTAATTACTCTGGACACATACAATTTAAACAATTCACTTACCAAGAATCTCAAACGGAAAAACCACAAACAGCAAACGGCGCAGAACGAATAAAGAGGTTAGGTTTTAGGTTTCACGGTAAATTTAACCCACTTCACACTTTGACTAGAAGCAGTCCGTGAATGCATACATCCACTAGCAGATGTGTTCATTTCGGTTAAAATGAATACTTTAACTACGGAGTTTAGCAAATGTATGCATTGGCTAGTAAATGTATACATTTACTAAATGAATGCTTTGACTGCAACATATAGACTTTGTGAAGAACAGATTGCACCAAATCAGTTTAGATTTATGAATGCCGTTGGCACAAGATAGGACCTATTTAGTGTTCAAGTGCTTTGTCAGAGATGCAGTGACGTCAGCTGTGATGTGTTTGCATGCTTGATAGACTATCAGAAAGCATTTGACCGAGTCCAACATGCATTTATTAAAATGAACTCGCTAAGAGTCACGATCTGTCCTTACACATGAAACTCAGACTATTGCGTTGCTACGTCTTCTCGGTCCTTCTGTATGGCGTAGAAACTTAGACACTCACTAAAGAAACCACCAAGAGACTGGAAGCATTCGAACTATGGCTGCACAGGAGAATATTGAAAATATCTTCGACACAAAAAATTACCAATGCAGAAGTATTGCTACGTATGAATAAAGAAACATAATAAAATGTCGGAAACTCCAATATCTCGGTCTCATAATGAGGAATTCAAATAGATATGGGTTATTGCAACAAATCCTCCAAGGCAAAATTAACAATAAGAGAGCATCAGGTAGAAGGAGAATATCTTGGTTAGCAAACACTAGAATCGCCATCAACAAAGTAAAAATAGCCATGCTGATCACCAACATCCGAAACGGATAGGCACTTGAGAAGAACTATTGCCGTCACTCGATCGTGAAGTTACCAACATTGACAAACTAATAGGATTCTTCTTCTTAAAGTTAACTTCACTTCGCTAACTTCATTTGCATATTGATTTTCTGAAATGACCTTTTGGTTTGAAAAACCATAATAGATGTTACAAATAAAACTTATGAATTTAGTGCTATGATAGAGTAATTGAAGTCAATATGTGGTTTTTGAAGTCACGATCACCATCTGCTAGTATTGTCGAAAACCAAATTTAAAAATAGTTTCACCAGAACGTTCGGGATAAGGACATCGCCCCGTATTTTCCGGAGCTAAGTAGCCAAATTAAGGAGCAATCAGCACTTTGAGGTATAATGCGACCGACATTTAACAACGGCGCGCTGTTTGCCAACTGTACCGCACAAAACTATTGTTACAATTATCCGCATTCGTGCAATACGGGCGTTGAGTTAGCTATACGGTGCTCAACAGTTCGCCAAGTTCTACGTGAAGCGCTCGAAGTAATAATTTTCAAAACTATACGCTTATATTGAAGTCGGTATGGGCGGAAAAAAGAAGCAATTCAGACCTCGGAATACGCGCAGGTACTTGGGAGCCGAGTTGAGAACTTTCGATAACTTTAATGGGGAAGTTTTCACATAGGAATTTGCGTCATTTATTCCGACGACCATGTCAACCAATAATAATTTATTAAGACCTTTTTATTGTTCAATATGGAGGGTAGAAAAATGTAATTGTATATAAAGCGGATCATTTTTTTAAAAAAATATGAATGAATATAATACAAGTTATACACCTAAAGTGACGTACTTTCGTGAGATGCGCTAGTAGAAATGCCCATACCCGTGACCTCCATAGCCGTGGTATCCGAGAGAGTAATAAGGGTAGTGTCCATGGCCATATCCCCCGTAGTAACCTATAATACACACAGGGAAACGTATTAGCTTCCTTCAGTGACGTCATAAAAGAGTAAATAAGTGTAAAACATCAAAAATTGATCTTACTGTATACTATTATTCTCCTAGTTGAATTACGGTAATAAACAATATAGAAATTGGCATTTATTTTTTTAATCTATAGGGACCTCAATAAATAAGTATGCTGAATTAACTTAACTTACCGTGCGATCTATATATAGGGGCAAAAGAATACGAATAGTGGGGGTAGTAGCCGTGTCCATAGCCGAAACCGTACCCGCCGTAGATACCTCTTTTAACGGCCTTTTTGGGAGTTAAAGAAACTTGTTCAACGTCGTCTTCGGCGGAGACAAATAGAATCGCACAAACCAAAAGGAGAGCCTGAAAAATGAAATTTGGTGCTCAGTGCCTAATTATCTAAGCTTTTCCAGAGCTTCTTCCAATCCTTAACACTTAAGTCACAGAACAACATTTACAACCTACTACATCTATCTAGTCTACTTATCTAAGTCAGTGCCCATTTATTTTATAAACTCTGGGTATCTATAGAAAATGAACTGCCTAATTGTATTTAATCGCCGAATAGGGGTAAATCACAAGAAGAAAAACAAACAAATAACAACAAAAAAAGCAAGTGCAAAGCGTCAATTGTTTATCACTTTCCAGAATAGCCATTCTACCGCTCTGTAATCACAAGTAGTCTCGTACTAAGCTTAAATAACTGAGTTCCCTTGGGAAAAAATTCGTAATATAATAGAAACTGTTTAAATGTATTTACTTACCAAAAATTGAATTGAAAATTCCATTTCGCTATAGTGCGTGGGTATCTATTTAGTATTATTAATCGTTTTGCACCAAACCGACTGATGAAAATGCAACGACAAATTGCATATTTATACAGGTTGCCAAAACCAAAATTTTATCCACCCTCCCCCAACCGAAGCTCAACATATCGCATTGGCGTGCGACAATATTAAAAACATTTTGCTTTACGGTTATCGGAATAAAATACGAAACTATATTCATAATTTTTTTGGATGCCGCAATGTTTTGTGCAAAATTTTAAATTAATCATATAATGATATGATAATAATAAGAAACTCAAAATAATCGTTCTATCTCCTTATCAAGAAAAATATATGTGTTGTTGTGTTTCTAATTATTTATAAGAAACAGAAATTTAATATTATTTAATAAAATAAAATTAAAGACTAAACAAATAAACAAAAACTTATATAATCTGCCAAGTTATTTACTACTTACCCAAAAGTGGCAATAATTTTTTGGTAGGGTTGTTGACAAAATTTAATAATTGTTCTATCTCTAAAAATAACTTTTGAGCGGCCCCCACTTTTGTGTTTTGGTTTCGACCAACAAATTTCAGTTTATTTTTTAACCTTTTCATTAAATAAAAAATTTACGGAACTTTCATGAAGTGTACTCTAAAATACATACTAACCATAAACAGATCTCGTACGGCCCTTTTGGAAAACGTGTTAAATAATGGAAGATATTGAAGAAAAAGACATCGCGAACCTTATTGGGTTTGTGGCGATACGTCCATGGTAGCCGATATAGGAAATTATGACACAGATTTACCGGGTTAAGGTTTTACCCACCGTACGGCGAAGGAAGTTTTCATTTAATTTTATATTGTTTCTTTACATTCGGACATATGTATAATAACGTGCGTGCAACACAATAATTACCGCGTTTCCCAATTCTAATTTTTTTTAATCAATGGTAATTATTAATGAGGTCTTTTTTAATGGTAATTATAGACACGCCAATTTGGCGGTATGTGTGGCTCATACCATGAAAGGTTATGTATATAATTTAAAACTATTTTTACGCAAGATATAGAATTAAACGAGTCGTATTTTAAATATTGTACTGAAAAACAATTATTAACAAAAACGATTTTAACACTTTTACTTTAATTAAAGTTAAGATCTTTGGACTGGAAAATATATCACATATCACCATCGAAGTTAATCAATCCATTTGCGTATGATAATAATAACTTTTTGATGACGAAGATGTTACCCACAATGCTTTGAATGTCAATTAGCATCAAATACATTAAAATTACTTCATCCATAATATAATTAATCCATCTTATAATTAATTAAATATCTTTGCAGTTAAAAGTACCATATGTAAGAAATCAACGAGTTTTCACTGATATTAAAAGTGGAACACGATGTGATATGCAGAAGTTTTACCTTGCGTAATAAAAAATAGTATATTATTATTTATTTGACACGAGTGACTTCAAAAGTTTACCGAACGTGCTGCATGCTAGACTTTTTCTACGACCGTTAGTATTTGGGTACATTTTCGTAAAACGGCACGAATACATTCACTGACATTACCGTCAGAATTGACAAACGTCAAAATTCAAAGCGTGGGAAATATCTCCGAAAACCTCCGATTGCTGCCAAACCCGTGCGGTAAAATCCCGGAAATGTCCGAAGGGGCTCGGATCCGTGGGAAACGAAACTGATGTGGTAAAGTGACGCTTCCCGCACGCTAGATCGGTCGGCAATTAGGTATTTTACAGACGAGAGTAGAAAAAATTGTTTCTGACGTAGATATTAAATTTCATGCATATATTTATTCAATAAAAGTTTTGATTTTCAAAAAAACGCTAGGGGGTAATTTTTACCAGTGTAAATAATACAATAAATGATGACGTAAGTATCGACTCCGAAATGAACAGTATAAGGGTGACTGATATTAAATCGTGCACGCATTGCAAGCACCTGTTGCGTCACACTTGCATGACTCTTTCGTTTCGACACAGTCGCACAAAACGGAAACGGCAGAATACAATAAGGATTCGTTCGCACCGTATTGGAGGAATTCGACCTGAATCTAGATTTTGCAATCGCCGTTATAACGCCGCGTATCAGACGGTGATTTGTTTTTTCGCCGTTCCACAGATTGAAAAGTACCAAGAAGGCCATGTTCTAAAACTCGTTGCTCGTCAAACCGCTCGTATCAACCGACTTGATCGGAATTCAAAGATTTTCTCCTAATTTTTAAGGCGTTCTTACGGGCGAAAGCAAAACAATTTATAAATTTCAATGGAGATTAATCGACCCGCACGCATTTATTTCTAATTAACCGGATATATTAAAGTTTCTCATATTTACGACCTCTTAATATACTCCCCATCCTATCACACTATATTCCGGGATATCATCCGTTCGCTCGTTGAACTCCGACTGGAATCCTGCAGACGTTTCGCCAAAATCTCACTTGGCATCTTCAATGCTCGCGCTCCGAAAACACTTCGAACACTGTGTTATTATATATATATATATATATATATATATATATATATATATATATATATATATATATATATATATATATATATATATATATATATATATATATATATATATATATATATATATATATATATATATTCTCACGTATTGATTAACGGATGGAGAAATGTGATGACACTATATTCCGGGATATCATCCGTTCGCTCGTTGAACTCCGACTGGAATCCTGCAGACGTTTCGCCAAAATCTCACTTGGCATCTTCAATGCTCGCGCTCCGAAAACACTTCGAACACTGTGTTATTATATATATATATATATATATATATATATATATATATATATATATATATATATATATATATATATATTCTCACGTATTGATTAACGGATGGAGAATATATTCCGGGATATCATCCGTTCGCTCGTTGAACTCCGACTGGAATCCTGCATCCGACTGGAATCCTGCAGACATTTCGCCAAAATCTCACTTGGCATCTTCCATGCTCGCGCTCCGAAAACACTTCGAACACTGGGCAGGATTCCAGTCGGAGTTCAACGAGCGAACGGATGATATCCCGGAATATATTGTCATCATATATATATATATATATATATATATATATATATATATATATATATATATATATATATATATATATATATATATATATATATATATATATATATATATATATGAATGTCACAATATTCTTATATCCTTCGCCTGCAGCTGACATTAAGTCGCGAATTGCACTAAGCAGAATTCCGTAAGGGTCACAACACGCCATCAGCCTTATCTTGTGCATTAGATGACATTGGCATTATTATACATACAAGAAGATTAAGTGCACTTATCCTTCTTGGTCATTCTAAAGCCTCAAACTTTAACAATGACTTTACCCGCCCTCCCTCGGACCAGGGAGTGTAGACACTGCAGGCCTAAGAGGCATCTTTGCTTGCTAGACATTGGATTCGACCCGGAGTGCAGGTGGTATCATCTGCTCACCGAGTGCCCTGCTTTGACATGGGCTAAAAGAGTTGCTGACCTTCTATAGGAGGGGCGGCATTCTGGACGCCCTCTAGCACTGTCTGGGGGCACAACGGGGTCATCTGGTGTCCTAAGTGCTTGGACGCCCGCGGGAGACGCCCCCCTTAAATACCAATACCATACCAATACCAATCCCACAAGCCTCGATTAGTGGCCCACATTTTCTTTTTATACACCTTAAAAAGGGTCTCAAGTAGAAGGCGTATACATATTCAAACATACCCCGATGATCAACAGGTACCTTTCGCCCTTGTGAATCAGCAGATGCATCTATCCTAAACTTGGATTCTCGTGCAGGTTGCATTCCAGTCACAGCTGCTGTAGGCTCCTTTTTTAGGGTTTTTGATATTTCTCCTGTGACAGCTATTACTATTGGGACATCAACCACTGTCTCCATTTCCCACATGCGTCGGATCTCGTCTGCCAAAGGTAAGTATTTAAGTGATTTTCTCTGCATGGGTCTTCTCTATGTTTGACGATAGCGGTACTGCAAAATCTACAATGAAGACTTTTCCCATATTTTTGAAGCTAAGTACCATGTCTGAGATATTGTTGGTATCGCGCGATCGGTAATAATTTTTCTGTTCCAGAACACGAGGGCGTTTTGATCTTCACAGACGAAAGGTGGGTCGTACTGGTAGTATGGCTTATCAGAAGTTACTCGCATGTAGAGTTCGCGTACCTCTTGGTCGGGCTACAGCCGCGGTGCCAGTCATAGGGCATCCGCCGAAAATATGATCCAAGTATTCTGGCTTGTTGCTCCACATCAAACACTTTGCGTTATCCGGTGCTTCATCTAATATTGTTCTTTTATATATTTATCAATCCCGTCTGATTCTATACCTGCCAAGTATTTGCCACTTTCTTTATATTCATTAGCGGATTGAAAGCCGGCTCTGCAAGTCTCAGTGGTGTCGCCTTTCTGTCTGCCCTTGAAACCACTCTATGTATGTCGTTAGTCTGAGCTTTATCTTGAAAATATTTCCTAAGACTATCGATCTGCCTACTCTATCTGACAGTCATATCTGGAAAGCCGCAGCGTCGAAGCTTGCAGGGGAGATGAAATATTTAGTCAGCTGAATTTGCTAATTATGTTTACATACTTGTGGCGATTTTGTAAATAAACAAATCAGGCAAAGAAAAGCTAAAATTATTAAGGACAATACAAAAAAAAATCCGAAAATAGCAATCTGAAATAGCGAGTTTCACACACGCATTAAAAATTTTAACAGTGAAGAATTATTCTTTTAAAACAAATTACTTGACGATTTGAAATGAACCAAAAAAAAGTTTTACTTTTTCAGAGTTGGAATATTGGAATATTTTATCAAATTTGTTCCCTCAACTCATCGTTATACATTTTAATAATTATTGCGCTAAATAAATTGCAAATGTTGTTATTCCAATTTTCTCACATTCATAATTTTGGTAAAAAAATATATAAAAAAAGTCAAGCACATTTCAGAGCGTTACTAGAATTAATATTTTTTATCTAATTAGAGCTAACATTCACCCCTACTACCATAAA